ATACTTTGCTGACGAAATTAGGTAAAAAAACTGTAATGCTGTTTATTCTGCACACAAGACTGCTTTGACAAAGTAACAAGGCTCAAATCTGGCCCAAAAGCTGCAGAGAACAATTGCAATGCTTTTCAAATCTCAACCGTGTCTTTATTAAACACCTTTTAGAGTAAATTTTTGAGGCCTCTTTTATTTGAATCTTTTGTTCAAAGCCCTTGCCATTGTTATGAATAGAGACCACCTTCCTAAAAAAGAAAAAGAAAAAGAAACTCCAGTTTAAAAAATTGTGGAGGAATTTTTCTCTTAGAAAGCTCAGAATCTACTTTTAGGGGGTTTTCTGTGCTTAAGGAGTGAAAAGTCCCAACCCAAGCTGTTTGTTTTAGGTTAATTTTGTCGCCACCTTACAAATTTAGTATGTTTTTTGTTAATAAGTAACGGCAACGTTAGTTTCGCTAATGCAGAAAACTTGAGCGAAACTGTTTAGATTTGAAGTGAATCGCTTGTCTTGGCCTTGGAGAGGTTGCACGTCTGTGAAGTGAACAAACTTTTTAGCACTCGTAGGAACGCGCGAAAAACTTTCCGGCTTAAAAAAAACGTGTGGAAGAGAACGCGCCAAACCATTCAAACTAAACGTATGTTTACAACAGCGTTGCCGGGTATAATGAGGACGTTTTGGTTGAACGGGTCTCGACGTCATTTTGATTGGCATATTGTAATGGAAACGGTTGCGTCTAATATTGATTGTAGAGCTCCTGTCAAAAGTTGAACAGCTGGTCCTCGTGTCTTTTTTCGAAGAAAGGAAGTAAACGCTGCACGAGGCTATCTTTATAATCAGTGTTTAAACAGGATATATAGGGTAATGATAAAAAGGGGACTCAGTCTTCCTGTATCCAACTTACGCAGCTTCACCTGTCGATTGAAATTAAGAGACGCTGGTGGATGTAAGCACTGAGGGATTAGGTCCTTATGAAAAGCGATGACCCTCTTAATTGCTTTGCGCACGCATGTAATACGTTGCGTCTGCAGTAAAAAAGTCCGAAAAGAAAACAATCACCTATGTTTAACTTTAAACGGAAGTTTTAAACGGTGCCATTAAATTTTTCTTTTATTTTTTACGGAAGTTTTAAACTCAAGTGAATTTTTAATTACAGTCATTCGTTTCGTTATGAGGACGTATATTTAAGTTCCTTCCTCTCTAGCTTCTATTAATTTTGATCGGAAGTTTTAAACACAGGTGAACTTTGAAACGCAGATTTTGGGATAAAGCCGCACATTTCCTAGAAGTCAAGGAACTCGCGCTTTGACGCAATTTTTGAAATTGCACTCATCAATGAACGTTGCTACATGAAAATTTGTTCATATATCGATACAGTTTTGAAACATCCATCTGTTAGTTGCTATATTGCGTTGACGTGGTATTTCTCGATTAAAAACAGCACGAACCCTCCAGTTAAAATTTAACATGAATTTCTTACTTTGACCTGTCTCGTGGCGTAGTGACTGTTTTTTTTTCTGACTGTGCGAAACTCCATATTCTGTTATATCGAGAAACCACACGCTTTTAGAGCGTATCTCTTTCAAATATTGCAAAAAAAACAAAAAAAAACTTGGCAACTTAAAGGCTGACATATTCCACGGCACAACTTACTGGCAGTTCGTGGTAAATATATTTAGGACGTCAAAATAATGAATTTGTCAACATCATTAACGAGAGACAGTCTTATCACTTCCTTGATGCGTTATTGTGCCAGTAGATCAAGGACTTTTGAAATACACTTTTTCCTCTGGTTTTTTTTTTTTTTTCTTTCAGAGATAACAAAACATGAAAGTCAAACCGACGTCAATAGGTTTCAATTTCAGGTGCGCAACGTACAAGAAATTCTCTTGGGGGGGGGGGGGGGGGGGGTAAGTTCAGTTTGTTTAGTAAAATTTCGCAATTTACTACAAACTTTATTGATCGGACACCCTGTATTGAGCAAGCACAAGCCAGGGTCCCGCGGAACTTGTCCTGCTGAGCACAGGTTTCACTTGGTCAACTAAATTTACAGCTATATGTGCGATGTCCTTTTTCTGCTCTCAGTGTTCCTTATTTTCATTATTGAGAGAAGATTTTTGTTAAAGGGAAAACAATGTGATTGACCAGAATACTCTTATCGGAAAAAATGACTGTTTACCTCTCTCAGAAGCTCTGAGAGAGCCTTTTTAATTCTGTGCGCTAGTCATGCGCGAGGATGGGAATAAACGCTCTTCGGAAATGTGAAAAGAAAAGAAAACGTGATGAGACACGCTATTAGTTGTTATAGTTTCTGCGTTACCAACTAGAGGAATGATGATAATATTTGCGATTAAAGATAATTATCATAATCGCTTTCCACAAAATATCCATAACAACGCATCAGTGTATCATCTTTTTTGTAGCCCTAAGGAAGTTTTAATACGATTGCCACAATTACAGCATTATCAGTGGAGTTTATGGTGCAATTCTGTTGCCTGGTAGCTTGACCTGATTGAAAAATCTCATAGCAAATGTGCTCCATCTCAGGCCACTTGGCTTTGTTGTGTGAAAAAAAAATTTAAATGCATTCTCCAATGCTATGATGTCTTTGTCTAATTAACGCAGAGGTCTCTTTTCTTTGGTATTCATCAAGGGAACGGGTTATTTTTTGTCTAAGCCACAGACGCCTCATAGATTGTGAAACGTACAACCTGTGTTTAGGAATTTCGCAATCGCAATATGCGCGTGGAAATTGTATACAAAATATTCGATTAAAGTCCAAAGTGTTGATGAATTCTTGCACAGTTAATGCGGCACTTTCCAACCGCACAGTATGCGTTTGATGTTTGGAAACACGTGGCTCCTATTGTTAGATTCAAAATGGTTTTACGGTGGAGTGATGTTTCTATAGAGATGGGGGTTTTGTGGGGGCTTAATACGGAAGGATAAAAGATGAACATTTTCAATACCTTAGACTCTTCTTTATAAAAAAAACGACGGAGGTGGTAAAGGAGAATTAGAACTTTGGACTTCTTTTTAAAGTTGTACGTGGGATATATGTTTCTTACTTTGCTGGAAACAAGAGATTTTGTAACGCTGTAATCTCGAACATTCTTGCGCATTGAGCCTCATGAGATGATTATGAAATTGAAATCGCAATTGAAATTCACGGAAGGCTTAGAAATGAAAAATAAGCATGTGGAATAGGCATTTTTATAGCAAGAACTAGCTCACTTGCTTTCCAACGCCAATTGTTTCTCGTTGTTTGGTGTTTTCTGAGTTTCCAGAGGGGATGTGCGATGTATTTGGTCTCACGCTCATAGTTTCAGCTTGTGATGAGTATGGTCCTGTGCGATAGCTTTGTGGGGTTGAAATTTCGTCTGTACCAAAAACTTGTTTTGTTTGGGAATCAGAAAAAACGACATCTGCATCTTTTCTTTCTAGCGGTTTGCTTCTAGTTACGTTGTTCCGATGCCCTGCTTTATCCAGTTGCACTGACAGCCCCAAAGGAGTCTTTTCATATCCGCGCAAGTAATAAGGGTTCAATACAAACCTTTAAGTTCTCACAAGGAAGCCCTATTAAATGACAATAAAAGTTAAATGTTTTCACTAAATATCGATAAAAGAATACAGATATTTAGCCTGATCAGCGCTCAAACAGGAGCGCCATTCCATAAACTCCTCATCCCCGAAGGTGAGCGAGGAGTTTACAGAAGTCGTGTTAAGAGCGTTGTTAAGCAATTTTAAAAATTATTCTTGAACGTTTTAGTGAATTTAGCCATATTCTTCTCGTTGAGAAACTAGTATTTCCTAATTATTGTCACATAAAGCTCTAGTTACCACTGGTCGAGTTTTCTGACTCTGCATTTACACGTACATTTTATATTGAAAATTTGTGTCATGAACGATAAATTTGGCACGAACCATGTAAACAAAAATCACATTTCTCGCTGAAATCAATACTTGTCGGCTAACATTAACAACAGGTGTGGTATACCTCAGTAAACGGAGCCAATGGCCCTCGGGCAGTCTTTAACAATTAATTTCATATTATCGACCCACACCAGATAAACAATATCTTAGTCAAGAATGATCTGATACAAGTAATCCTAAGAAATAAGTGTCCTTAGTTTTCCTTTTCGAAAGAGGCTTACAGAAAACTATCAGTGGAATTAAAGGCGTCTTAAGGCTGTCGGCGTAATCCTTAGTAACCCCTTTAACTTGTTTGTTCCTAGGCAAGCGCGATTTAGCGATGCTTCCTTTCAAGATCTATTAATAGTCAGTTGAAAACAAGTCAGTTAAGGTTTGCTTTCTCAGTTTCGACTCTCACCCCCGACAGAATTTGAAACGAACAGCTCTTAACATGTCGCTGAAATTAATCATCTTTGCCCTTTGTTGTTTCGCTCCGAGCTGCACTAGGTGGTAAAAGCTAAGTCATTTGTCCTCACAGCGGGTAGTAAATTGTTTGCTATGATATCTCGGTGATGCGAGTTGCCGTTCGCCACGGTTATTTTGATTTGGGCTAGACCCTGGTGGCCTTGTGCTAATTTGTTGTAGTTGAACTTTGGATGTTACGAAGCTGTGAATGAGCTGATTCATTCAGGTTTTGCTACCTCTCGTCGGGGGGTGAATTCGATTCAATAACAAAGTTCTCCAGTCTCTTTGCTCCTGGAAAATGACTCTTATGGAAAGCTATGGCATTTAAATTTTTAATGTGCTTGCGGTTTTACTACTTCATCTGTATCTTGTGATTTTACTTCGAAACATTGAGCAAATGCGCTTTCTTCCTAGGTGTTTAGCGAGTGACATTGTAATTTGCGCGCTTAAAGCGTCGTCCCGCCCAATTAGTGGGTCACTATTAGACAATCTTTTCTAAAGGCTACCATGTGCTCTGCTTAGAGCACCACATTAAAATCAACTGCTACAAGAAGCTGTTGACTAAACCCCAACAACAGCGACAAAGGTATTTTGACAGGAATCGTATCCCGAAAAGAAAACACCAAACTAGAAATATAGAAAAATAAATCGTGCAACTTTAATTTCTCTTTAACAAATTGCATGATAAGGTATATACTGACATATTCTATTTTTTCATGTCCACTAGATACGCAAGTGGTCATCTTCTTATTTCTCTACAAACTACTCATACGGTGCACAGCACTAGTACTGAATTAGTCTGTTCCCAGACATTATTGGATTAATAGTTTGTTGGCTTATGCCGAACAAATTTCGCTCTAGGTGTCAGCTAAGGAGTCCAAACCTGTTCAAATCTAGGTTCCATTAAACAAGTAGTCTCAAATTAGAACTTATTATAGGAACTCGACAATATCTTCTTAAAACAAAAGAGCTTCAACATCATTCCTGTGTTTTTTTCCCTTTGGAAGCAAGTCTTAACAGCAGCAACTCAACCTAGCACGATTTAAGCCACAAATTTTCTTGAGTGCCTGCGTATTTATACATTGTGGAATATATTTGTATAAGCTATGATATTCGCGAGTTTCTCAGTAGAATCAACTACAAACTCAATATTGTTCTGCGCGTTACATATATAACGTATGGACTCTGTCCTTACTTCAATCCTTCATAAAGCCGAAGTTGTTACTTCTATTCGCTTGACCTTGCAAGCATGTCACCCATTACAAAAACAAAAAAGTTTCTACAACGGGAGCGAAGGAAATCCTTTAAACTCATTGGAGTTCAATTAATTACTTGATTAGCAATGTCGACATTTCTGCCGCGACTAAGATGAAAGGTGCAAATTCTGGTGCCTTGAAAGCCAAATTCTTTTACCGCTTTCTTGGGGTATATTGTTAGTCTTCTCTTTAGAGATAATAGAAGTTTATAACCTGGTTAATTTGTGTATTCAGAATATGCATATTTCACCTTGGCTCAAGGCCAGCTACCTAAGCGCCTCTAATAACTGCTGGGCTACCAAACATAAAGGATTTCTTTAAGACGAAAAAAAAGTTATCAAAGACGTCTTAAAAAAACAATAAATCATCACACTCAAATCTTTTCCATTTGATGGAAATGTCAAATGGCTGCGTAAAGCAGCCAAAAATTCCTTTCATTTCGAAACTTTCCTCGTTATACTGGAATAAACTAATCTACAGAGCTCTGTATTGTGTGTTATTAACTAGGAAACATGCAACCAATACAACATCCTCGCTTACGAGACATCCTATATACAATTTTCCGTTAAGGAGAAAATACCGCTGCAAAAAGAACAGCGAATTCGAAAGTCTCTATACTACGAAATTATAAGAACACCAATCGGTTCAAAATTGTTTACGCTATTTACCTCCAATTGGGAAGAAAAATACATCAGCTCTGCTGGATATATAAAACCCTCGTTGCTATTTTCACCTAGAAAAAGAATCACGTTGTCCGAAAACAATGCTGCCCTATTTATCATGATAGATCTAATTCTATGTACATCAAAGCCAAGCTTATTAAACTTTTCCCTGAAAAAGACTACACGAGTGGAATTTGTACGCTAAAAAGAAGATAACTAAATGCAACTTCCGAGATACAGTAAGATAAAAATACGCCAAATAACTTAGCTTACACTTTGTCATTCCATTGTAATGAACGGTATCTTTACTTGATTGAGTCAGAGTAAATCTGAATTAGTTAACATGTCCATATACGTTGGACAAACTCACAGAGTTGTTAACAAAGGACCCCTCGCTTGTTGGGTATGGAGCGATCTCTGGAAGGCTTAGGAGGTAGGAGCTCAACTGTTGAGCAGTGGCAACGTTTCCTCTGGATAGGGCCTGCAAGAAAAGCAATAAAACAGCCAAGTCAATTAGTGCGCGCGGCAGGAATCTTCCCTACTCCTCTCCATAAAAGCCTTCATTTGCGCCGTTATTATCATTCATAATTTGAATGTTCCGGTTGGACGGTTTTTAATAAAGCGCTAAGTGAAAGGTAATCAAAGGCGCAATGAATGGGCGCGTGAGTTACCCTAGTAATAGAAATCCAGTTCCGAAAAATCGTATTTGTTTTGTAGCTGGGCACGTGTGCTAGAACTGCAATATGTAACAATGGTTCACTAGTTTTGCAGAATTTGTCTCATAGCTTGTCCAGAGTTGTGAGCCCGGTGACTAGCCGAAACCCCGAGCATTTCCGCGCCTCTTGAAAGCATGCTGCATTAATTCAGTTGAGAGTTACAAAAGTGAAATCAGAGTTGATTGTCTCTTTAGTAAAGTAACCTGATAAGACTCCAAGACATTGGTGTAAATTTGATTATTTTTTGAAGAAACAAATTGACAGTTTTTGATGGCCTGTCACTTAACCCAACTTTTCTATGCGGTTCAAGAAACTTTTTGAACTTCCTCGCAAACTGAAACTTGGGCCAAGAAATGTACGCGTGCGCCTGACTTTGTTGGAGGTTGTTTTGAGCTATGCAAAGTTTCTGAGAGCTTTTAATCCCATCGATACCCTTGTCTCATTGCGTATAAAAATGCACAACAGTAAAAGCGTCAGTTACCTGTAAGTCATATGCATCTTGAATCCACCCAACTTGTCGTAAGAAGCGCGATTGCCTCTCGTGCCATTTACTCTCATTCAGCACGCGCTGCAAATGTTTTATGTACTCAATGGCAGTGCGGAGCGTTTCCACTTTGGAGAGCTTCTTGTTAGCTGGCGTGGTTGGGATGTGCTTGCGTAAGGTGGCAAATCCATCGCTGACGAGCTTGACTCTGTTCCTCTCCCTCTCGTTTCTTCGTAATATAGAAGCATGCTCTTTTTTCAAACAGTGTGGTGTTCGGCAACGTGTGCGATGCCTGGATGGTTTTGGGCTGGAGCTTGGCGAGTTGTCGCTGCTAAGAGCAGACGAATGGGACGAACTTGGAGAGTTCACTGGTGAGATGGCTGGTGAATCTAGTGACAAGCAATCAGACGACTGAGACGACGGTGACGGCGAGTCATAGCTGATTTCTGGAAAATCGATAGGAAAATCCAGACCAGCGAGATCCTCAAAAGTTAATAACTCCTCCATATGTGTTGCGCAGGGCGGTGACAAGCGGGCAGCAGCAGCGCGGTGCTCTCTCTTACACGGACTCGTCTCGCTCCACGCTACACAAGTGCGTGCAAATACTATATTACATGAGACGCGTGGCGGAGCCTATAAAGCGGTTTGTTTTGTTCCTCAGGGACTTAGCGTTTGGTTGTTGGGTAGTGAGTTAGTGGGAGGGGCTGTGGAGACATTTAGCACAATGACACGTTAGGCAAACTAACTGCTTTGAATGGCCTACGGCTTGTTTTTGTGCCTTTAATCTTCATATGAAAGGGCTGGATTGTCTTGAGCTCTTTTGTGCGTGTCCTGCGCGTGGCTTCGATTATAATTAGTTGGCCAATACAATAGCGGTGCGTGCTGTCGTCAGACCTTTAGAAATCGCTAACAAAGTCAACAAGCGATCTTTCGTGTCGACTCTATATGCCGATCAATGGCGAGCCAGACTTTTGTTCTATCCACGTGCCTGCTCCCTGCACCGAATACTTCAGCTCGAGCAACCATTTTAAACCTCAGGGCGGCCAATAAGCTGCCAGCTCAGGCTTGGCTCTCGTGCACGACTCCTTAACAGTAAACGGTTATGTTTAAGTTAGGGGGAAAAAAAAGATCACTTTGCGCGCACCACTGCATAAGATTTATTTACAAATTTTTTTCTTATCTATTTATCACTAAGTAGACTAGGTTTTGCATTTTTCAGTCGCATATTTTAAAAAGTCAACTGCCTTTTGCTGCGTGTGTCTCCAAGGAGAAGTCTCAAGTATGTCCGGTATCTAGTAATTAACAACTTTATCGCCTAGAGATAGTTTCTAGGTTCTGTAAGGATTTGTGTGCATTGTTAGAGAAGCTGTTAGTTTGATAAACTGTTTACAATGCAAATCTTTCCTTGTATACGACTATTGCAATTGTTTTAGAACAGTTCTGTACGTCCTGAGTAGAACAGCAAAAGCTCATTCGACACCATCAAGCGCTCTTTTTCGGAGGTTTCTTTGTGTGGGGTCCAATTAATCTTATCCATTGTGGGTTAAATTAATTCTTTTCCTTTTTGTGACTGTCAGATCTTTTCCTTTCATCGATTTTATTTGCAGAGAATTTCAACTTTGACAACATTCCTTCACAACCGTTTACCTACCGCTGCAGAGTAATGAGACATAAAACTGTTTTATTTCAGTCACAAATATTTGCTTTACAAAGAATTCCTGGCGCTCCTAGTTAGCGCAAAGGAAGCAGTCAATCAAGACACTTTGAATGTGGCACGCGAATATGGCACGAAATTAACGGCCAAAACGACGCCACTTGTCGCGATCCAAAACCTGATAATGTTCTTGAGTTTATCTCAATTTAAGTGGCGAGATGGCTTGAAATGTGTCATGGAGCGTGCTGTATTGACATTAATAACTGTCAACGCATATTTATAACTCATTTTCCTTTTTTTCCGTTTCGTGTTCTTTTTTATACCTGAAATCGTTTCTCGGAACAGGAACTACTGTTGAGGAGTTGGTAGAAGATATGCTTGCAGAGGTGGACATGCACAAACAAACATTTCCTTTGCTAGGTTATTATTTGATAATTCTGCTTACACGCGCCAAACGCGTGCCTGAAAGTTTGTCAATGGTAAATTACACCATTGATTTACATTTTTAAGTCCGGTGTACACAGCGGCCAGACGCGGATATTGGTGAACATTACAGCTTCCTGTTTTCCCTGAGCCATGCAAACCCCTTGTGGTTCCCTTGGAAGCAAGCCGAAAGCTTGTAATATTAGCATCGGAATCTCACGCTCTCTTTACTCGAGATTCCGTTGCATGCGTTTTTTCGGTTTCTGAGTAATGCTCTCCGTTTTGCATATCTATTCTTGTACTATCGACTTTTTAGTTGCCGTATTGTATAAAATCTATCATTCAAGACAGCTACAAGTGTTAACCGCTTGGGTCGCTGACAGTTGCATGAACGCATTAACGAAGTGCATGCACGAACGCTCTTCATTCGCGTGGCTTTTAAGTCCTAATTATTTAGCGGCACGCGGCTATAACTCTCGAAAGGAACTCGACACATATCGGCCCCCAAGTTAATGGCTTGTGGCTTAGAAAGAGTTTGCAGTGTGTCTTTCGATTGATTGTTATTTACATAGAGAGACACGGTTAATTGAATGGCTTTCTATTGAAACCAAAGCCGAAACACATTTCATGCTTCGTCACTGATTTAACAAATTGAAGTTCTTTTCATTAGTGGACGCGTCCTGTTCCCCAATTTGTCATAACAAGGAACTTTTTACAGGAAGGAAGATTCATCGCTCAAAGAGCTTGGATTTAATGGTTTATTGAACAGTAACAAAATTTAGAATTGAATTAAGTGCTCCTTGAGCGAAGCGTCCTAGCTGCTAAGATAAGGATATTGCGTTGGTGATAACGACTCTCTTATCTTAACCTTTGTACGCTTTTGTTTCTGTAAACATCAAGTGCCGCCAAAGTGCTTTCAAAGAAGCTTCGATTGCGTTTTGTTTTTATTAAAATCAGCTTCGAAAATTGTAAATTCCTGTATGTGTATAATAGCGTGCCTTTTCCCTCAACTTGAATCAGACATCACGCGATGAGTGATTCAGACATTCACTGGCATTGGCGTTTTGCTGATTGGGTTGAATTGATACGCTCGGATTTTTTTCCACTCGAAAACATACGTTATCTTGTATTTTATACTGTTCGAGCGGCTTTAGTAAAAGTTTTAGACACGGTTCATAACTTCCTATATTTTGTAACTGTTCATAAGCGGGCAATATCTTCTGTGGCGTGTGCCTCGTCACACAAGTTTCACCCTCAAAGATATCGCGTTTACACTCTTACTTTGTTAAGTAAAGTGAGGTTAGACACAACTAATGTCTGATAAAAAAAAAAAAAAATTGTAACATGGCTTGGTGCCAATTAAAATACCCCGGTGACTATTGGAAATCATACCCTGTGGCAAACTGACGTTGATCTAGACACAGGAGGTTCCAAGTTCCCCTGGGTATCCTGTAATCTACCAAGTCATACCGTGGGAGAGCTGTAAAGATGCCCTGGGGTAAACACGCAGATATGGGGCCGAGTTTGACTCTAGCGGGTGCATTCAATAATCCTCACGCAAGTCGCATATAAAGATGTTGTTACTCCTGCGCAATCCAGCTTTGAGTTATTGTAACTCATTGGGGCTGGGCAGACTCGTCGATGCCTACTTTTTTTTTTTGCCATGACATTTTCTTTTTGAATTTGAGGTACTTTTTGCTAACTTCTAAACTTTGTAAGACTTTCCTCCTTTTGACACCGCATTTTTCCCATGTTTATACACTTATTGGAGATCTATATCATTCACGAATCCTTAAAGATCCATTTGACAATCCGAGAAACTTTGACTGATGATTTTGGGAACCAATCTCGAAACGAATCTCTTGCAGTTGCTGATGCCCATCTAGAGTCAATCAAGAACGAAATGTTATGGAAAAGTTCATATCCAAAGTCAGTGAGACGTGTCTCACCCGGGAACACAAAAGGTTTTACTAAGGGAAAATGTTGGGACATCTATCTTCTCTTGATCTCAGTGAGAGTTTCTCTCTTTATTACACCCATTTTGAAATCACTGGTGGTCCCTGTTATCTGATTGGCTCTAATTTTTACGAATTGCACCATTTTTTGCTTCAAATCGCATCTTTTTCCCAGCCAATGAGGAGGCTACACTAAAAGCAAAACAATCAAATTGCAGGAAAATTAAAGACAAAGAGTATTATGTGGCAAATTTTGCAACTTTTTTTTTTTTTTCAGGCCTTATTTTCACTACTGCAAAACAAATATATGACTTATATTCTTAACCCCCCCCCTTATTCCCCCCCACCCCTCGTCAAAATGGATGAATTTAATTTCAAACCGGCAGTACTGCATCAATAAAATATTTGAACTGACCAAGTCCTGTATTTGGGCGATTTCAAAATGGATGTAATAAAGTGGTAATTGAACCTCATGTCGTACAATTTCGGTCTGAAATCATACTTGTGATTACAAATCACGCATATGATTTCAGCCCAAACTGCACTCCACTCAGTTCAATTATCAGTATGAATCAGCACTTCTGCTGTGATAAATCAGATTGTAATGTCATCTGCAATGTCTCTTTTTCAGCAAAGGGCGTTTGTGAAGCTGCTTTTTACAAAATGAAGATTTTTTATTCTCCCACTGAAGATGTTTCAGTGGTCTTAAATTTCAGCATTATGCATAATTCTTGGCGGATGTCAAGGATGGTCTTTAAAGGTTGTTTTAAAAAATCCCTGCTCCAATTTGAAGGGTTTCCCCGAAATAATCATTTGTAGGGGCCTTTGAGGTTCTTTGAAAGAGCTGTTGTACGATTTTACGGAAAAGGTCCAATGAGATCTTTATAAAGAACTTCTAAAATTTTGGCAAATTTCTTCGAAATGTCCAAGTTCAATGATTACTATTGAGGTATGCGTACAGCTTCAGGACTCGCGAGTCTCTGAGTTGAAGTATCAATAAACTTAAAAAGGCTATGTAATGTCTCAATATCTTTTGTTTTTGTCATGTGACTCGAGAATGTAGAGAACCATATAACTGAAAGTTTGTTTAGTTCAAAATGCTAACTTCATATTTTAAGAATTTAGGACTTGCCTTTAGGTATCTTCCACGATCGCCTGCGCCGGGCTGATCACCCCGACGAAACATTTTTTACTTTGGCTTAAATTCATGATTGATTTCTGACTGAGTTTTTTTTACGAAATAGACTTCTTGGCCACATTTTTCTCAGTTGTAGGTTTCATCTTTGGCTCAAATATATTCTGGGATAACATATCTTTGTCTTTATTAAAACTGGCGATCAATGTCAGGTGTTATCAGCGATTTTAAGGCTCGTCAAATCACAGTCTGTACCAATAATATTAAAAGAACTATACAGCAAAAAAGAATTAGCGAAATGTTTGGAGGCGATAGCAGTTATTTGTCACACTCCCTTTATGTAATGGTGGGAAGCATCAGATACACGGAGTACTATGAAGTTGTGTCGTTAAGGCACTTTTCCACTTAATGGCACAAAGCCTTCATCAGAGTCCTCCTCAGGTTTTGGTGTTGCTC